TACAACCAGAAGCTACAATAGGATGCAACCAAACAAGAAGCATGTGCAGCATTCTCACAAAAACAACAGCAGATAATGTACCAGACACCTGCATAATCATAAGTATATAAATGAGATTAGCGACAACACTGATCAGCATGAAGATTCAAGGTGAAAGAACCTTAAACTATAAGTTGAACAAGTTTTCCACATTGTGAATGTGGCACATTGTTACCATCATACTCCCAAAGAAAACTGGCAAACAACAGTCAACACAGGGTCTATTACAAATATCATACCAGTCAGAATCCTGAATAACTTATACCTGGGTCACTGAAGTCCTACAACCACAAATTTAACTGTTTATAGTGGGACATCATCCCTTTCACTGGTATATTGATAATAAAATGTGTCTACGGCAATTCTGCATAGAAACCACAAGCACTTTACCTGGTGTAGAGGAAGAGTGGACCAGCAATAACAGGATTATTGGTGCATATAGATCTCAACATTGTGACCATTCATGAGATTACCAAGATATCAATTACAACATAAGAGACCAAGAATAGTGAGAAGAAACTTTTGTATGTATCGAGTGGTTCAGGTCTGGAATGCAGTCACTGGTAGTGTGGCAGAGGTAGGTTCAATCGGTGCATTCAAGAGGACATTATTTCTATTTAAATAATTATCTAGTTTGCAGGGTTACAAGGAAAAGGCAGGAAGATAGCTTTAAAATATCATGCTGTTCTGGAGAGTTGATGCAAAAGTGATGGACCAAATGGCCACTGTAAATTTCTGTGATTCTGTGAATACTTGCATTGAGTCAAATCAGGACTCAGAATAATTGCATGCAGACAGATTCAAAACCGCAGAAAACTTTAAAGATTATGCTGTATTAAACTTCAGACAAGATGTAATTCCACAAAGTGACCCTCTCAAAAAATGCAGCTTTCATACACAAGAGAAGCTTAAGACTGAGCTGAATGATACTGAATAATAACTTCATCTGTGGCATACATTATCTCATACATTGGTGCACTTTTATTACATGCGTGAGAAAGAACCCAACCTACTAACCATCTTTCTATAATGAGATACCCATGCAAAATTCTGCCACAACAAGAACTGAAATCCAAACAGACAGGAAATAGATTCTTCTCCAAGCTGGATGGTGAACACAGATTCACTTGGGCTTTCTTGGGCAATTGCTACTTTCAGAACACAATTTGGAAGCTAATGTTTCCAGAAACTATCTTTTGGTCTGTCAGTCAAGATCTTTTCCCACTGCATATGGTTAGAATTACAGAAAATAATCCTGGGTGATTGATCATATGACTGTGACGGGCAAAACCAAACAAAAGCACAACTGAAATCTATGCTCACTAATGTCAGCAGACCGTTGGAAAGAACCAACAGGTTGATCCACTCATGACCAACTGATAAAGTTTTAAAAACTAACTTTTCCAGGGAATTCGGGCTAGGCAATAAATACCTTGTCCGCAAAACCCATACTCCATGAATAAATTTTACAAAATGTCTTCAAAAGCAGTAAGTGTTAGGTGTATGTAGGCTGGTTCTTTTTTTTTTTTGGCTCTGTGTTCAGGTTATGGGATCTTTCCTGATCCACCAAAATCCAATAAATATAACTCCCCAAGACAAAGAAGATCTGCAGAGATGTCTCATAGCACCATGCATACTAGACTTTTACAACAAACTATTATTGTCAAGTGAACTCCCCAGGAAAAAACTTAGCATATGAATGGCAGGAGGACCATCAACATGTGTTCAAATTGCTCAAATAGGCATTGTGAGCAAAAATTTGCATCTTATAATATTACAAGCAAGGAAGGCAAAAATCTTTGGAAGTCAATGCATTTCAGAAAGGGCGAGGAACGAGTATCATGAAAGATAGCAAACCAGTTATATTAGATCCAAAAGTCTATCACAAGCAATGTTATTATTCTAACACACTTCATTTGGAGTCACGAGTCCATAAATACCTACTTGGTAAGCAATTCATTTTGGAAATTAGAAATCACTGACAACTACCTATTTGAGACAACAATGACATCTAGTAAAAGAGGTGCAAGATGTGCTTGATGTTGATCTGATTAATCTTGGTCAGTGCTGATGCAAACAACTTCAGGAAGAAATAGGTAATGATTTATAATTGAAGGCAGAATGGAAAGTTACACTGAAGGATGGCCTTTGTTTGAATTTGTTCAAGGGAATACGTACATCACAGGTTACGCCGATGTTTATTGCCGTCCCTAACTACCCTGAAGAAGGTGGTGGTGAGCTACCTTTTTTTGAACCACTGCAGTTCTCAAGTTGTAGAAATACCCACTTTGCTATTAGGAAACGAGTTACAGGATTTTGACCCAGTGACGGTGAAGGAGCAGCAATATACTTTCAAGTTTGGTCATATGCCTTGGAGGCAAGTGGTGGTTTTCATTCATCCCTCCAAGTGGTACATATTACAGGTTTGGAAGGTGCTGCATAAGAATCCTTGGTGAGTTGTGACAATACATCTTGCAGACTGTATATACTGCTGCAACAGTATGTTGGTGTGAAGGAAGTCCGTGTTGAAGGTAGTGGGTGGATGGAGTAGAAATCAAGCAGGCTGCTTTATTCTAAACAGTGTCAAGCTTCTTGAGTGCATGTTCCATTACACTCTCGACTTGTCTAGTAGATGGTGGATGGGTTGTGTCACTCACCACAGAATTCCTAGCCTCTGATGTACTGTTGCAACTACAATGTGTAGTTTCTACATGCATTACTCCACACACACACAACTACAGTATGTAGTTTCTGGATGTAGATGTTTCCACTTGTGGGACAGACTAAAACTAGATGCAAAACAAAGATGGCCACTAATAAACTTAATTGGAAATTCAGAGGAGATATATTTTCTCAGAGTGTTTAGAATATGGAACGTGCTACCACAAGAAATGGTTGAGATGACTGGCATAAATGTATTTAAAGTAAATTTAAATAATTTAACATGATACTGCAACCAGAAGGCTGCAGAGGGTTGCCACGTGGAAAAGGAGATGCTGTTTTTCTAGCTTGTGCTGAACTTTGCTGGAGTACTGAAGTAAACCTGAAACCGAGAAGTTGGCCAGGGAACACGCTGGTGCATTGAAGTGGCAGGCAACTGAAAACTAGGTCAATTTTTCAGATAGAATGTAGGTATTCTGCAAAGTGGTCACCCAGTCTGCATTTTGCCTCCCCAATGTAGAGGAGGCCACATTGTGAGGAGCAAATACGTTAGACTAGATTGAGTGAATTGTGCTGCTTTCCTGGAAGGTGTGTCTGGGGCCTTGGGTAGTGAGAAGAGATGAAGTAAATGGACACCCTCTGCAATTGTATGGGGAGGTGCCAGGAGGAATGGACCAAGTGTTCCAGATGGAACAGTTCCTGGGAAATGCTGATAAGGGAGTGAGGTGAATATGCGTCTGGTGATGTCATCTGCTGGAGGTGATAGAAATGGCAGCTAATGATCCTTTGGATGTGGATGCAGTGGAAACTGAGGACTGGGGGACACTATCAGTGTTGTGGGAGAAGAGAAGGGATGAGGGCCCAACTGCAGGACATGGGTTGGACACAGCTGAGGGCCCTGTCAACCACTGTGGTGGGGAATCTGCAGCTGAGAAGGAAGGGGGATGTTTTGGAGGCCCCTTGTAGAAGTCAGCATCATTGAAACAGACGCGACTGAGACGGAGAATGGAATGGAATCTTCAGAGGAAGCAGGGTATGAAGATGTATAGTCCTGATAACTGTGGTTTGCAGTAGATATTAGTGGCTAGCCTATCCACAGAAGCTGAAACAAGCAATGTCTAGGAAGGGGAGGAAGGAGTCAGATGGTAAAGATGAGAGCAAGGTGAAGATTGGAAATGAAATTGATAAATTTTTCCAATTCCAGACGAGAGAGGGAAGCAGTTCTGATGATGTTATTGATCGCACATGTAGAACTCCACAAAGAGATGGGCATAAGCAGGCCCCATGTGGGCACCTCTGGCCACACCTTTGATCTGAAGAAAGTGTTAGGAGTTAAAGGAGAAGTTGTTCAAAGTGAGGATGAGCTCAACCAGACAGAGGAGGGTGGTGGAGGATGGGGACCGTTCGGGTCTTTTCCTGGATGAAGTGAAGCCCTGAGACCATCCTGATGGGGATGGATGTGCAAAGTGGTGAATAGGAGGGCCACAAACTGGAAATTCTGTAGGGTCAACGCAGGAAAAGATGGGTTCTGTGGGGCAGGAGCAGGCAGAAACAGTGGGTCTGCCCCAGTAGTGCTGATGGTGGATTTTGGGAAGGCGTTAGAAGCTGTGTGAGGTTGGGGTCTGTGAGCTCAGAGGCAGTGGAGGCGAGATCACCAGATGAAAGGAGATTAGTGATTGCTGAGGACACAATGGCCTGGTGTTCAATGGTGGAATCCAGGTCCAGGGGAGATAGGAGGAGGTGTCCAAGAGCTGGCATTCAACCTCCGCAATGTAGAGGTCAGTACGCTAGACATCAGCAGCACCACCCCTGTCAGCAGGCTTGATAACAAAAGTAGGAAGATATGCTGATAGAGTCAGATAAAGAGGAGTGGAAGCATTGTCTACTTTCTTACATTAAGAATGGCTAGTTCAATGACATCCAAAATCAACTAGTTCTCAAAGTACAAAATATGAATAGCTGGCTTCAGAAAGGAGTATCAGGAGTTTCTCCTGTATGTAAAACTTAAATCTTTAATAAGATTTTCTCTTTGATATCATTAAACAAAAAATTTCATATACTGAGGTCTGCAAATGCCTTGATCTTACTGTATGGTTACAAACCTTTTAAAGTAGCATGCTGAGATTTCTTTGCACCAAGTAATTATTATTGCTGTTTAGTACTTTTACCTAAACTAAAGCTTTTGAACATTTTTAAAATGTTAATTTTGGAGCCTTTTCACAATTTCAAAATTTGGTTTTTTTTTAATATTGTCTGATTATTGCCCTATGTATAATTTAGCCATTTTGTCCAATTGTCAGGCTCATTACAGTCAAACTGATGATGAGAGTTATGTGAGAACTGATGATGATGAAAGCTGCATACGGACAGATGACGAAGATGGTCTAACTTCTGGCTTCACTGAAGAATGGAATGAACATATGAAGCGTCTGATGACAAAAAATATAATTTTATAAGTAGTGTGAGGACTCTAGCACAATTATTTTAAAAGTTTCTAGTTCAATGTGTTGACAGACATTTCTTTTACTTAAAGCTGGGTTTATCAGCATCTTCTTTATATGCCTCAAAACAGAATTCAGGAGAACGCAACAGCAGTTGTCACCAAACTGAATAGGTTTGATGTTATTTAAAATATGGCAGTATTACTATCAAAAATAATTCTTCACACATAATATTTTCTGTATATGCTCCTAAAATTGATACACATCATGTTTGGTTTCTAGATGAACTGTGCAGTCCTTTGGCAAAAATTACATATTTTTCAACTGTGATGAACCTATTTTGGTGAAATGCACTTAAAAATCATATAATATGGCACAATAAATGAATATTTATTCAAAACTATAACAATCCATAAACTAGTAATTTTCAGCATTTTTTAAATGCACAGATCTGTAAAATAAAAGAACTGTGAACTGTGTCAAGGACGCTCATAGCTAATTCTGTTCTTGTACTTTGAACCATAGGTGCCAAAAACAAAGACAGTTTGAAAAAAGGAACTTGATTTATTTAATTCCTTTTGTGTGAGTAATACAATGGGTTAAGCAATATTTTAAACATGCATGAACTTGCTAACTTTGAAAAAGTAAACTTTTTTTCTGGGTTTTATTTGCTTACTTGGGCATACTTATAAATATATATATATACACATTACTTGATGTGCATTGGTCATTTTATGTTTCAAATGTGTATTACCTTAGTTGCCTGTGTAGTGTGTACATTGTGAGGAAAGAATATTTTATCAAATAATCTATGGAAGAGAATTGCATATGTTGTAAAGACAGCAACAGGTGAGAATTCAAGGTTTAGGAGGTTTTGTGGCATCTACCTGATTAATTCACAAGCAAATCATGCAGATGGTTGAAGATACTATTCTCCAAGTATGTCTTAAAGTGTTCATGATCAGTACAAAACAACTGATTCAACTCCGAGTGAGTTCTCACAGAAACTATTCTACATAAAGCTGGATTCATTTTTTCTGTAGTAATTACTCCGGAATTTACAAATAATTCTTTCATATACATTTTCTATAAATGATGTCATATGTAAGTCAATAATAACTTTTTATTTGCAGCATTGTTAAACAAAAGTTAATAATGACATAACAGAAACACGCTGAATAATATGTAAACTTACACAACAAATGTATTATTAATAACTGAAGAATTGCAAAAAAAACCTACAACTCATGTGGTAAGCACCCTGAAAGAATGTAGATGTCTTGACAGTAAAAAAAACATGAGGAGAAGTGGTGTGATTTAATTGATGTTATCAGATTAAAAAGCAGAAGGAAATATGTTAATTACTGATTGACATCTACTTAAAGGGAATGGATGTTCGATAGAGATAGAGATAAAAGAGAGATGTGAATTCTGGAAGATTCTGGATATAGTTAAGAGTTGAGAGAGGCTTGGCATGTTTCAGAGTTAACCTGCACAGACTGTGGCCTTCACTGTGAAACAATCTGTACTCTGTTAGTGCATGAAGTGATAAATTGTCTAGTTTTGTTTCCCAGTTCTATACCTTTTATTTATTTTGACTGACTTTTCCCAGCTGCATATGTTGATTAATGTAGACACATACTGTATATAAAGTCTTTGTGCTGAATTTAGAATGGATAAATTCAGCAAAATAGCCGTGAATTACCATCATTTTCTTACTCTGTCCAAAACAATGGACATTTAATTTTCACCAAAAATGTATGACTACATCATGTATAAATTAACTACAACTAATATATTTAATGTCTCCAAAACTCCAAAAGAAGGACAGCAACTTTGGAAGCACTAAAGGTTCAATGTAATACACTGTTGATGTAATAAAACTACTGATCTATGTTTTGTATTGTTAAGTATTGTATACATATGTACAATGTGTTGGAACAAGCTGGGGACTTGCCATGTTCTAAGATTGTTCAGGTATTTAACTGTGTGTCTGTATTTTGGAATGGAATATTTCTTCATTAAAAAGAGAATTTTTTAAAAGGCTGGCAGGTAGGGGTCATCCTACATTTCTTCCTGTGGAACTTGTGTCTTCACTCATTTGCTAATATTGTTAATTATATGATTGTAGTTGTAGCTAATGAACAAACTTGGAGATTTTACATTTCCAATTTTTAATCTTTCTAAACTAAGACTACAAAACAACATCATTAAAGAATAAATTTCCAATCTTATTAATTTCCTTTCCAATGTCTTTAATAATCCTGCCCTTCCCTTTCTCATCTCAAACCTAAATGGTCTTCTATGCCTGCCATATATGTTTGTATTCTCCCTTTTTGCACTAATTATACTGCAAGGATTTTGGTGGCCTTTTCCTTCAGTCAAAGCCCATTAAGTTCCTTATTCCAAAGATCATACTGTTTTGGAGGGAACGATTAATTTCCCTTCAATCCAAACTCTGTAGCCATCAGTTTTATTTAAGATAGTCAGTAATTTCTAATAGTGCACTCAGCCACTAGATGGCTGTCTCTTTGATCCATTCAGTAATCCGTGGTTTATGAGTAGACCTGTTAATTAACCTGCACGTCACCTCCCCATCCTTTGGTCTCAGATTACAGAAAAATAACATATCACCATTTCTCACTTCTAAATCCACCATATAAAAAGCACAAAAAACACAGTAATCCCAAAACATGTTGATGTTCACAACTGAAGTGTTTTCTTATAAAATAACACAGAAACAGACACTTCGGTCCAACTCGCCCATGCCAACGAGACATCCTAAATTAATCTCGTCCCATTTGCCAGCATTTGGCCCAAATCTCTCTCAATCCTTCTTATTCGTATACTCATCTAGATGCCTTTTAAATGTTGTAATTGTACCAGCCTCCACCACTTCCTATGGCAGCTCATTCCATACACACACCACCCTCTCCATGAAAAAGTTGCCCCTTAGATCCTTTTTAAATCTTTCCCCCTCACCTTAAACCCTCTATGCCCTCTCATTTTGGACTCCCCTACCCCTGGGGAAAAGACCTTAACTATTCACCCCATCTATGCCCCTCATGATTTTATAAACATCTATATTGTTTTGCATACAATTTTAACAAATATATCCTACTTTTCTCCTGAAGAATTTCACAGCATAAAGCTTAGGATTCTAGCCACATCTGTGTGGAAGTATTTCAACAAACGGTGCAACTGAGTTGAATGATTGTGAGATTCACTTTAACTTTAATTTTAAGATCTAAATCAATTACAATTATAAATTGAGTTTGAGAGAGCCAATCTAAAGGTTTACTAGTCCTCATTAGTTACATGACCTATTCTAGATAAAAATATAATTTTACAAGTTTTACAGAATTTATTAAGTTTATCATAATGAGTACAAAATAAATGATACTTAAAATCAACACTTTTCAGCTGATCCACTTCAGAATACTAGTTTGGGACACCAGTTGATGCAGCACAGGTTTCCTGTTCTGCTCTGTTCTCTTTCTTTCTTTCTTTCATCTTCCTTCTTGTGTACTGAACAACTCAGAAGCACCACTTATTAACCCTTGCTAGAAACTAGCCTCCATGTAAGATTAGAGATAGCTCAGAGTCTGGCTTGTCAACACATGGACAGCAAATGATCAGTCTCACATTGACTCATGACTTCGTGCTGAATTCTTAATTGGTTTCTTGAAAAGTCATGGTCACCCATGTGGGTTCACTCCCTAATTCATTCTTTGACATGCCAATCACTTTTTAAGATTCCCTGTTTTGGAACAGCTTGTCTCCGTAAGCTTAGCAACTCCATATATGTTTCCCAATTAAGGTGGCACCAGTGCCTTTACATCAGTCTTGGTGGTGGAAGACACCTGTAGCATACCAGAACTTCAAGAGAGTCGTGGGCAAAGGTGAATGTAGTGGCCATCATGAAGGAAAAGGTGCTGGGGAAGCTGAAAGGTCTAAGGGTGGATAAATCACCCAGACCAGATGGGCTATACCTCAAAGTTCTGAAAGAGATAGCTGAGATTGTGGAGGCACTGGTGGCGATCTCTCAGGAATCACTGGTGTCCGAGAGGGTCCTAGGGGACTGGAAAATAGCTAATGTAATGTTTAAGAAGGGAGGGAGGCAGAAGATGGGAAATTATAGGCCAGTTAGCCTGACCTTGATCATTGGTAAGATTTTGGAGTCCATTATTAGTGATGAGATTGAAGCGTATGTGGAAGGTAAAATCGGGCTGAATGAGCACAGTTTCTTCAAGGGGAGGGCATGCCTAATAAATCTATTAGATTTCTCTGAGATGGTGATGTCAAGTTAGGCAAAGGAAAGCCAGTGGACATGATCTAATTGGATCTCCAGACAGCCTTTGACAATGTGCTGCACAGGAGACTTCTAAATAAGATAAGAGACCATGCTGTTAGGGGCAAGGTACTAGCATAGATAGAGGATTGACTGAACAGCAGAAGATAGATAGTAGGAATAAAGGGGTCTTCTTCGGGATAGCAGCTGGTGACTAATGGAGTTCTGCAGGAGTCCGTGTTAGGACCACAACTGTTCACGTTATACATTAAACATCTGGTTGAATGGAATGACAGACATTGTTGCTAGGTTTCCAGAGTGGACATAGAGAAGATGTTTCCACTAATAGGAGAGACTGGGACCTGAAGGCACAGTTTCAGTTGAAGTCCCTTTAGAAGTAAGATGAGGAGGAATTTCTTCAGTCAGACAGTGGTGAATCTATGGAACGTGCTGCAGAAGACTGTGGAGGCCAAGTCATTGAATGAGTGTATTTAAGACAGAGTTGAATGGGTCCATTATTCGTAAGGAGATCAAGGGTTACGGGGAGAAGGCAGAAACACAAAATAACCATGATCAAATGGCAGAGGAGACTTAACGGGCCAAATTGCCTAATTCTGCTACTATATATTATGGTCAATGAACAAATTATGCATCTCCTTAGAGTAAGTAGTGTTACCTCATAGTGATTAACCAGCATCCTAAATGTCCAAATTGATATATTCTCCAAAACCTATCAATATTCTTCAGCTATTAAAACCATGCATGACTCTACAATAACCAATTTTGAGCAAATTAACACTCAAAACATCCATACAAAACTAATACATGTAGGCCTGTTAATACCTTAATTTACAAATCTAAACATTTTAAAACAGTATTTTACTCGAAGATGCAGCTACTACCTCAAAGTGTTTTTGCAATTTACATTAGCTTGATTGATCCACAAAAGCAACTATAAAACCGTAAACTCATTACCTTACTTTTGACCTCGGCCACGCAATTTTCTTCCAGAAAGTGTTTTACAACTATGATCAATTAAACAAACTGTCATTTATTTCCTCACTTGTTTAATCAAAGTTATTAATTTTTTGAAAAACAACTAAACCCAACACAGTCATGCACATTATGATATGTCTTGTTAAAAATACATTTCCACTGTTATAAAGTGTTACTGTAGAAGACTGCTCCTCAGTTATGCACAAGTCTTTTCATAGCCACAGAAGGGTTTTGTGTGGGAAATACTCCTCTTGTAAAACCTAATATGCTAGAAATTTATTTTCCAAACAGCAATTCATTGTTGTTTATTGAAATGATATCAGAATTTAGTGTCGCAAAATTTCTTGCCAGCAAATGAACCATTACAACAAAAAAAGTTAGCAACCAACAAGATACTTAGATAACATATGCAACTCAGATACCAAATTGAAAATACAACTTAAAATTTAAAATGCTATTGTGACATAATAATTTGAGAAATCTTGGATGCACAATTTATCCAGACATAATTAAGATACAATGCATTCAGTGTTAAAGGCAAAAATTATTCATGCCCCAATTTGCCTGCATTTATATTTAATTTTCTTATTTTAATGACATTCCTTCATGACTTCACAATCTTTATTAGTGATTCAGAGGAAAGCATTAGAGTAACAAACCGCAGGTGTGCAGATGACATGATGATGTGTGCTGGTGCACAGATTAGATTTTAAAAATAGTTTGTGGGCAGATTTCAATATCATTGAATAAAGTGTGCTTCTTATTATCTCTATCAGTCAATGGTCGTTTTGAAGTCCAGCATGTTTCATTTAGGCAAGAAATTATACACTCAGATGAGAATCAGAGAGTGAAGTAGAGGTGTGTGTGGAGTAATGCATATAGGAAATAAAAGCCAAACACAACAGAAACTGGAAATTGAAAATTAAGGCAGAAAACCCAGCAGGTCTGGCAATATCTGTACAGAGAAAAACAGAGTAAGCACTGAGTCCAATATGTCTGTTTTTCTGAATGGTAGAGTGGTAGAAATTTGAGGGGTTTTATGCTGTTGAAAAAAGGGAGAGTCAGTACAAAAGGAAAGTTAGGGATAGGCAGGAGCCATTAAATGAGAAAGATGTGGAAGAAAAAGCAAAGGAAGTGATAATGATTACAGTAAGAAAAAACATTTTGGTCTAAAATAAATATTAATGGCAGAACAGCTATGAGTGAAAGTATAAAGACATGCATAGGAAAATCTGAGATGGAAGTTGTGTAGGAAGATGTTTCTGACTGGGGGTCGTGTAGATAATACCTATTATCAAACAGCAATTGGAGTATTTTACTTGTCACTCTTGCACCCCATTAGATGTTGTTATCACACTACAGAGTATCCTTATATCTTGTACCTCCTGGCAAATCTGCATTAGAAATATCCAGTGCCATAGAGAGACCCTAACGTCAGAACCAGCTTCTACAATAGATCCTTAAATTTATATTGAAGCCATCAATGACAGGGATAGAGATTTGTTTCTTCTGGGTTTTATGTAGGAACAGGAGTAGCTTGTTAGTCTCTAGTTTTTTCCACCATTCAATGATAAGACTGATATGCAATTTGTCTCATGTCCCTTAATAATATATGGTTAACCTCCATATCAATTTCATACTTAAGATTAACCAGTGATATAGCATTAATTGCTGTTTGCTTTTGATGGGTTGCTGAGTAGTAATTGACAATCATTTTTAAGAAATTAATGGAAAAACTCAGCAGGTTTGGCAGTATTTGTGGAGAGAAAGCACAGCGACCCTTCTTCCGAAATGATTACAGCTAGGAAAGTGTTGATCTATATGCTAAGGAAGGAGCAGGTGGAGGTGCAAAGAGTAAACAATAGGTGGAAATCGAACCCAGAGACAGAAAAAGCAGTTGGGCAGACAAAGGAATAGGTAAAGGTCAGCATGGTCAGCATGGAAAAAATCAATAGCTGCTTTTGGGGACCATTAGTAGCTGACAAAAGGTTGTTTTTGTGATGACAAGGCCAGGTGTGTGGGGTCTGGGGTAAGGAGATGGGAGAAGGTGCTCAGCCCGTGAAATTGAGTCTTGAACGTTGCAGGGTTCCCAAGCAGAAAATGAGGTGTTGTTCTTCCAGGTTGCTTGGAGCACAGTAGCAAGCTTTCAGAGTTTTATTTACTTTATTATTGGTGTTATCAATATTTGTCATGCTTAATTAATAGCACTTTTGCCTCTGAGTCATAAGGTGGGTGTTCAAGATCTATTGAATTTTATGCTGGAGGCAGGATTTCACACTTCAATGTTCATATTAGGGACTATTGCATCTCCACTTAGCCGGTTTGCCCTGCTTTAATCTTTTCGTTGATGGACAGAAATCTTACCTTGTACCATCTCCAAGAGGTGACCCACCTATAGAGGTGCTCCCTAAGCAGGAAAGTTGGCCACTGCTTACAATGCAGGAAGGCCAACAAGTTGGCATTCAATGATAGATCAGGACATTCTGATAGTCTGAGATTTGGGCTAACAGAGCCAGCAAGGAAAGATGGGGCTGTGAATGCAACTCAACAGGGAAGAATTAGGGTGAGAAGGACCTTTGCGTGATCCAGGGATCACCAGAAAGATACACCTCTTTCACTGATCAGCATCCCACAGTTAAACCGTTGGGCTATCTGTTGCATGCCACCTTTCTTGTGCCTGAAAATAAAGTGGCAGCAAATGAACATCTATGGGCAAGGTGAGGGCAAACTATCTGATGCCTCCCCAATTGCTTGTAAAAGTGTGGCAAGTGTCAATGTACAAGTGACTAGTACACTGTGGATAGCATGTCCCCTAATTTACAGATTCACTTGTCTGTTTTCCTGCCAGCAGATAGCCTGTAATATTCAGTTATTGAGTCTAAAGTGGCTGACACTCCAGGGCAGTACTGAGGAAGAGCTGAACATCTTTCAGTGAAATGTTAAATGAAGATCCTGTGTGTTCTGTAGGGTGGACGTAAGACATCTGACTGAAGTATTTCAAAGAACCACTACCCTGGTCAATATTTATAACTCAATGAACATTAGTGAAACACATAACCTGATTATTATCATATTGCTGTTTGTGATGTTCCCTGAGCACAAACTGGATGCTTATAACAGTGACAACATCACCATCATCTCATCATAATGAACAGCACAAGGCTATTCCTTTGATTCCTGTATGGCAGGCTTCTGGGAACTGTTCAAAAGACAATATGAAAGCCTTTGTGAAGGTCTACTTGATTTAACATCAAGGCATGGGAAGCAAATGTCTACTTGTGACCAAAATAGTGACCACCATCAAAAGTTGCTGTCAAAATCCCCCAATCAAGGAAAGTTGCCACGAGAGACATCGAAGGAAAGGACAACTTCTTGAACCAACAGTTACCACTTATACATGCCAAACAATGTCCAAGAGCCTGAAAAACTAAATTAGGGCCATGTGCAAACAGTCAACTAACACTTGACATTGAAATTGAGCTTGACATCCAGCAGGAGGGAGCATTCTTCGCACGAGGTATGATGGCATTTGAAATAAAGTAATTTAGCTATAAAATGCTTTGGAACTCTTAAATTGTAAAAGTCACTTTAAGTCTTACTTTCTGACTGATTATTGTCCATGCGGAGCTTGTGCTCAGTGTGCCTCGTTATAGCAGGGTTCTGGGTTACCATTCCTGGTGGGATACAAGCGTGTTGATTGCCTAACCATCAAACGCCCGGCTTCCTTCACTGTCGCCCAACCGCTTTGCTCAGTGTATTTCTTTCCCATGCCAAGCATCCTGGGAAAATAAAACATTATCAATGCCGCTGTAAGTTTTGTTCAGGATTGGGCATCGTGGTGCCTGGAGATATCTTCAATCAATTGTGGCGATATTGACAGCCCGCTTAAGAACTGGAATGATGCTGATCTCCTGGTTAACTCGTATCTCTTTAATCATTGTTGTTCTAACAATTTAAACTATGCCACGGCTGAGGGGCACATGGTTGTTCACTGTTAACACGTTCTATTTCACAACAGAAACACTGAAAACAGCATGTTTGATGTATATATGTCATTGCCTGATCAACGCAGGCTTCAGCTATGAAAGTCATGCTTAATCATATTTAAATAACCACCTACTGTTTCACTGTTCAATAAAAAAAGGCACTTTAATTTTCTAGCTGATCGTTTAGGCAGTGAGACATCCATTGTCTCTGCTTTTGGCTTACTATTACACATAATTTCCAATACGTAATAATCTGCAATCGTCTATCTCTGTGCGACAACAACAACAATGCTATTAATAAAGTGTTAGCAGGTGTCGCGCCGTTGCAGTCCTTTCTCCAGAGAGACGTATGATGATGCATTTCTGAAGAAGGGTCTAGGACCGAAACGTCAGCCTTCCTGCTCCTCTGATGCTGCTTGGCCTGCTGTGTTCATCCAGCTCCACACCTCTGATGGTGCATGCTGTCTGCACCACATTCCCCCCCATCCCCCGTCATGAAGGCGGAACAACGCGCCACGGGGACACTTTCGAGGAGTGGGTGCACGGCGCGTGGCTGCCTATGTTCACGTGATAGAGGGGAGGGGAATCCATGGCAATTCCTCAGCTCGAGGAGGAGTAGCCATGGAAACGGCGCGAGCGGCGATTTCCACCCGTCGGCAGCGCTGAGCACCCGAGTTTACAGAGAGGGAGCACTGACTGCCCCAAGCCAGTCCCATACATACCAACATCAGTGGCGTTTCTATCGTTTTCGAGAAAGAAATCCGTGAATTCTATATAGAATTTGAAAGTGACACAGGAAGAAACCAGTTTGGCTCGAGAATATTCCTTCATGATCGATTTTACCCGCAGCCAAAATTTACATTTTTTAAAAAAAAATTAAAAATCTGTCCACCTCGACCAATCCTGGTTCTTTTTGAAAGGACTTCTGTTCCTTAGGCCATCGCTGGTGCGAGATTTACAACAGAAACAGTAAGTAAATTGCAGGCGGTCAGTGTGATTTAAAGGGTTTTGGGTATAAAAGACCCCATTCTACTGTTCAGAGGTCGAAGCCCAGTTGTGGGCGGTGGGCGGCCGCCCGGCCGCCCAGCGATTGTCATAGTGCTTTTCATTCTCCAGTCAGGCTGCTTTGTCATTCAAGACGGTGGGCGGCACAAGCACTCGGGAGAATTGCGGCCCGATGTTTGCTCGCAGCTGAACCTTTCCCGACAGCTGTGAGCTGTACACAAGGGAGGAGTTCAAGAGAGAATGTATACAACTCCAATTAGGTGCCACCAAAGTACAAAAAAAATCACAAATAGTGCACTTCCGGAATTTTAAATTGTTAAAATGTTGCAAGCTTTTTTTAATGAATGGCGAACCCGGAGTACCACAAGAATCCCCGTGATCAGCGTGTTGCCGCGTGGGAGAATCGTAACTCTTAGAAGTAAGTGCGAAGTAACACCCAATTTGATTCAGGCGCCTGTTTTAACGACATTTTAATACAAAGTTTGATAGTATTAATAATATACACGTTGTCATCGAGAGGCTTAAATGTTTTGATATCTGGGTGCGAGTCATGCATATCTTCAAACATTTTTTTAAAATTAAATATTAAGTTGAGAGTCTGTTTAGTCCAACAGTTCAAAGTGCTAATTACTTGCCTTTTTAATGGCAACATTTAACACGCCTAAAAGAAATGTAGTAAAAAGATTCTCGTGTTTGATACTGATGTAATTTAATCCTTTTAGTTCAACTAAAGACATAATTCATTTTTGTCCGGATACCTTATCTTCTCATTGTCGTGCTTCGTAACTTTACAGATTATATGTAATGAGTAAGGATAAAATACTACATAAGTGTACTTTGTGATTGCTGAAAATGTTTGGGTCATAGTTGATCTCTAATCATTGAAACTTGAGGTAGTAATTTGAAGATTTTTACTTGCCTTCTGGGTGTGAAGCAATTTTTTTTTATATTTTTGGTCAAGCTTCCATTTCAGTTGAGATTTTTTTATGATTGATTTTTCAGTTGTATTTGAAGTGTTAAGTAGGTGCAATATTTGCTTTCTCTGTAGAACTGCCATTGAGGATGAGAACATCTTACTTGCACAAACTCAAAAGCAACACAGTGATGCAAAATATTTTAGTTGAATTCCTATGGCTACATAAATTAATGTCAAAGCTTTTTTTTAAACAATCAAAATATGCTTTATTACAATGTTGGCTGTGGTTAATTGTGAATTGTTTACCTGAAACTTCTGTCTTCAAATTGCTATGCCCTTTACAGTCCTTTGAATAATTTACTTCTCTGTTGGATTTGCCCTTTTCTGGTCTACTTTTTGTTGAAATTGGAAACAATAGTAAGTTAGCTAAATTGCACTTTTCATTGGTAGAAAAACATCCCAAAGCTACTTCAGAAACAAAATAAAATTTAGAGCATAAAGCCAAGGAATGAGAAACTGGAGTTGACTGAAAGTAGGATCAAAAAGGAGGAGCTGAAAGTGAAGAGGTAGAAGGGATTCCAAAAAGAGGACAACTAATGTTGTTCCATTTTACAAGAAGGGCAGTGCAGAGAATCCAGGGAATTACAGACCAGTAAGTCTCAAATCAGAAACTTGGAGAAAATTCTGAAGGAGCATATTAATCTCCACTTGGAGAGGCAAGGTTTGATCAGGACAGTCAGCATGGCAGATGGACGCTTACCCTGATTAAACATGGAGTTATTCACTTTGGAAGAAGTAACAAGAGAAAGGAGTACTCGATGAATGGCAGGATAGTAGGAAACTCCGAGGAACAGAGGGATCTTGGGGTTCTTGTCCATGCATCCCTAAAGTCATTAAGACAGGTTACTGTAGTTAAGGTATATGGGACAACTACCTTTATCAGTTGAGGCATAGGGAGGATATCTTGGTCCTGTACAGGACTTTGGTTAGGCCGTAACTGGAATAATGTGTGCAGTCTCCACACAAAACAAGGGATGTGATTGTACTGGAGGGGGTGTAGAGGAGATTCACCAGGTTGTTGCATGGAATGAGGCAGTTTAGATGTGAGGAGAGGCTGGATAAGCTCAGGTTGTTTTCTGCAGAACTGAGTAGGCTGAGAGGGTACCTGACTTGAGGTAAATAAGATGGGTGGAAAGCAGCTGTTCCCCCTAGTTCAAGGTGAAAGACAAATGTTTAGAGGGGATTTCAGGACATATTTTTCACCGGAGGGAAATTTGGAATGCACAGCCTGGAAGAGTAGTCAGGTGGGAAATCTCATAATCTTTACAAAGTTCTGTATGAACATTTGAAATGTCATAATATTCAAGGCTATGGACCAATTGCTGAAAAGTGAAACCAATGTGGACTTAATGTAGCTTTTTGTAGGTACAGACTCTGTGCTGAATGGCCTAGTCTGTGCTGTATTGTATGATTCTAAAGTAGATTGAAATGACAACACGTGGTCATTATTAGTGGGACAAATTGAGTTGTATGTCGTACAATAATGAGTTTCTACTGGTTGGATAGCATGTATTGAGCATCCCAAGTTGCCCTTGAAGGTAATGGTGAGCTATCTTCTTGAACGCTGGATTTCTTGTGCTGTAGGTAAATCCACATTGCCCATAGGGAAGGAATTCCTCTGACATTGTTGGAGAGAATAAACCCTGAAGCCGATGTTCGGAAAACATTCCAGTGGAGCTGTAAGGATAGGAGGTTACTGATGAAGAGGGAGCCCCTGGAGGCTTTTAAATCATACAGAATATGAATTTGAACAGCTTGCTCTTAGAAGCAACTGTAGATTGATTGGCCAAGATGAATGTGATAAGTACTTATGACTTTTTAAAGAATTTGTTCATGGGATGTAAGTGTCACTGACTAGACCAGTATTTATTGTAAACCCTTACTTGCTGTGGACAAGATGATATTCTGCTGTCTTTAGGGTGAACATAAGTGTACACAGTGGGAGTTGGGAGTTCCAGGATTGTTTGTAGCCTAGAGGGGAACTTGCAGGTGGTGGTGTTTTCATGTATTTGCTGCTCTTGACTCTCCAAGGTGGTAGAGGTTGTGGGTTTGGAAAGTATTGCTAAAATACCTGTGGTGAGTTGCTAAAGTGTTTCTTGTAAATGGGCCACACTGCTGCCATAGTGAAGGGAGTGAATATTGAAGGTGGTGGATAGGGTGTCAATCGAGCAGGCTGCTTTATGTTGGATGGTGTCAAGCTTGTTGAATGTTGGAAACTGTACCCTTCCAAACAAGTGGAGTGAGTATTCCATCACATCACACTCCTATCTTGTGCATTGTAAATGGTGGACAGGCATTGGGGAGACAGGTGAGTTACTTTCCACAGAATGCCTAGCCTCTGACCTACTCTTGTAATAGGTGTATTTATATGGCTGGTCTGATGGGGCTTACTATTCACCAGAAACTCAAAGATGTTGTTAATGTGTCTCTCAATGATGGTTAGATCCTCTCTTGTTGGAGATGGTCATTGCCTAGCACTTGCGTGGTATGGATGTTACTTGACACTTGAGCCCTAACCTGAATATTGTCCAGGTCTTGGACATGGACTGCTTCAGTATCTCAGTAGAGCTGCAAGTGCTGGAGATGGTAGAAAATGGTCTGTTTTGAATTGCAAATATCCCTGATGTTGTACTCGAATTGCACCAACTCTAAGTTATCTTGAGTAATTTCCTCAGGACTGCTTCTTAATTTCATTCCATTTTTCCCCGTTTCTCTGTCTTTGTCACATCTGTTCCAATGATGCCACCTTCCACCAGATTGCCTGTAAAACTTCCTTATTTTCCTTAGCCAAGGATTCCTTTTTCCATTATGGTTGACAAAGCCCTCAACCGTGTCAATACCATCTCTCATGCTTCCGCCCTCACCTTTTTTTTCCCCTCCCAAAACAACGATAAGGTTCCCTATGTCCTTACTTTCCACTCTACCATTCTCTGTATTCAAATGACCATTTTCTCCTGTGACAGTGCTGTGGCTTTGGGAGGTGGTTTCTTCGTGGTTTCTTTTAAGGGAGGGATTGAACAAGAGGCGCTAAGCAGTCTGTGAATCAATGGACAGCTTGGAAGGCCTTGAGGTGTTTTTTGGATTTGGAGAAGTGGAGGCAGCCTGGATGGGTGTGGCTGGCTGTTTCCAATGGGATTTCTGGTTTTTGTTTTTTAGCTTTTGGGTTCAGCAGGTGCTGTTGTGTGCTTGAAGAGGAAACTATTTTTCCCTCTTGATTTACAGCTAGAAGCTGAGGGTTCTCTTTCTAAGCTGTAGGATTGCATGTGACACACAATCTGTTTCTGAATTTGCCTTTTTGCCAAGGTGTTTGTTTATGGGATGTTATTATATTGGAACAGTTAATTAGTAATTGTTATGGTATCTATTATTCTGTAAGTGTGTGTATGGAATGAGCTGCCACAGGAAGTGGTAGAGGCTGGTACAATTTCAACATTTACAAGGCATCTGGATGGGTATATGAATAGGAAGGGTTTGGAGGGATATGGGCCAAATGCTGGCAAATGGGGCTAGATTTATTTAGGATACATGATCGGCACGGATGATTTGGACTGAAGGGTCTGTTTCTGTGCTGTACATCTCAGACTCTATGACTTTTAAGATTTCCAATAGAGTTAAGTTATTCTAAGTGCTTTCTTTTGTTTATACTTTAACTGTAGTGTTTAAATAAATTGTTTTGCTTATTGTTGAGTAATTTTACCAATCAAATTATTTCTGGAACACTGCACGTTTCCTTTGCCTTTTAAAAGAAGAAAAAGGTAGGGTCAAGGCTACCTTCTTAAAATATTTTTGAGGGGTCTGGTCTGGTCCATAACTCCATCATCTCCAGCAGGAGACTTATCTACCAGCAAACGTGTCTCTCCCACCACCACCAAGCCCCCGCCCACCCCAACTCCTCCACTGTCAGCTTTTCACAGAGACCGTTCCTTCCGTGATCCCTGGTCTACTCTTCCATCAATCTCAACAGTGCGTCACTTCCCCACAGAATTGC